ATCTCTAACATTCTGTGATTCTGTGTTATCCTTGCACCTGAATTATAGATTTTAGTGGTACGTGTTTTGAGTTTGAGCTACAAACAGACTTGTCAGTGACTGATTTTTAAAAATTGTTAGCTTAGACGAACAATTTCAAGCATTTTATTTGGGAGTGGTTCACATCCAGCCATTGTTGTGGTTGACCAGAAGTCACAGCAGAGATTTACACTTACAGGTGTCAATGTTTCCTTTATTGTTTTCACAGACATTGGTTGAATATGGAGCAAATGTCACCATGCAAAACCACGCGGGAGAGAAACCCTCACAAAGTGCTGAGCGACACGGGCACACCATGTGTTCCCGCTACTTAGTGGTTGTGGAGACGTGTATGTCATTGGCCTCTCAGGTTGTCAAGCTAACTAAGCAGCTGAAGGAGTAAGTGTTTCATTCTCAGCAGAGATATAATTCTTAAAAATATACCCTACTTCATCTTCAATTTATTAGCAGTGTCTGGTTTGTGCTTCTTATATATGATATTTTCAAGTCATATTTCTACCTTATTGCCACTCAAGTGCTTTCAAGCATTTTTCCCTTCACCTTTAGCGGCTCCGTTTTTCAGCTTTTCTCTTTTAGCAGTTTGCTGTGAAGAAAGATGAAGGGAGTAGGAGTGGAAAAGAGTATGCATGAAGCGATCTGGTCCTTTTTCCTTTTGCGTACCTTGGGATCACGTCATTGCTGATCATAATTTCTGTTTGTGCTTTTATATACAGTGAGTGGCTCTTCCCAGTTACAGTGCTGGGTGTTGATGTTGGGAGGAATAGTGGAAACAGTAGTTCGAGAAGTTTTTGTGGACTTGGAAGGTCCCCGAAGGCCACAGTGGCTACTCAGGAAATATCTTATGTTTTTTTCTCCGTAGGAGCTGGTTTAAATATTTAGTATGGTTTTTACTGAACCTTCTGTAAAGAGCCTGTTGTTTTGAAACGTGAATTTATGCAATTGCTAGCATTTATTGTTGGTTTATTTACTGTGACTTAGCATGTCAATAGGCTCATAAGATAAGACTCTTAGAAACCATCAGCACCGAACTAATGTTTTTCCAACTTAGATACAGAATCAAGAGCTTGTGAGCTAACACAAGCCATGAAAATGACTTTTGACCTCTGTTTAGAGGAGACCGTATCATTTTAGGCAAGCAGAATGTGGGTAATTTTACTGGGTATAACTTACAAGACAGGGGAGCTGCAGATGTGGCCTCTGTGAGAACAGGTGAGGGGCTGCCCTTTGTGGGACACAGCTGGTTTCCGCCAGCAGACCCACAGCAGGGCAAGCTAAGCCCATCAGCCCAGTTCATGGCACCTCTGTGAAAACGTATTTGAGAAAGGGCAGAAAATTCCAGAGCAGAGAAGGGAATAGAAGAGCAACAAACAGAGGTAACAGCAAGGTCAGAGGAGCAGGAGGTGCACCATGGTGGAGCAGACACACCACCAAGGGACTGTGGCCCGTGGAGTACCCATGCTGGAACAGGTACACCCCTTGAAAGCACTGCAGCCCATGGATAAGCCCACACCAGAGCCGGTGCTTCCCTGAAGGGACTGCAGCCTGTAAAGAACCCACACTAGAGCACAGGAAAAAATGAGAAGGAAGGAGCAGCAGAGAGAAACTGCCACACACAAACCCTGACCTGTGCTGCTCGTTGCTTTACAGAAAAGACTGGGAGTAACCTTCAGCCATGACAAGGGGGGAAGAGAGGTATCTCCCCCTGAAAATGGGGGAGAAGAGGGGCTTGGATTGCTTCTGAACCTGGCAGTGAAGTTGAGCCTAGAAAAGGGGAGGATAGGTGTTTTAAATGTCTGCCCTTTCTTATTTCCCAATACCTGAACCAATAATGAAATATTTATCCTAATTGGCAATGAATTGTTAAATTCCCCAAGCTGAGTCTCTTTTGCCCATAACAGTAATTAGTAGGTGATCTCCCTGTCTGTATCTTGAATAAGGACATTTTTTGCCTCTGTTCTTCCTATTTTCTGCCCCCCAGCCCACTGAGGGATAGAGCGAGTGAGAGATCAGCTGGCTGCGTACCTGGTTGCCAGCTGCAGCCAACCCATTACAGGGATACAATTTTTAGTTTCAAACTGTATGGCTTGAAAATAGGGGTAAAAATTACCTGTATTGTTAATTCACCCTTTTGGTATAATCAGGTATCTGTGTTGTACTGTTTTACGACAAAAGGAGTGTGTAGTAGCAGTCCCCTCTGTCATTACAGAATGCCTTCCTGTATTGGCAGTGTGCTTATTTTTATGTTTGTACTTCTAAGTTTTATATTATAAAGGCATTTTCTCTTTGTGATATCTTCACTGTTCTTTTACGTTTATACGTTTATAAATACAGTGAACTAAGGATTATTATAATTTTCACAGTTTTCATAATTTAACAGTCTGACACTATTCACTGGACATTTCAAAGTACCAGGAGTTTTGTAGTTGATTCATTTGCTGAGAAATACTAAAACATAGAAACCAACTGATATAAAGGAAAAAAGCAGAACCTAGGGTATTTCCTGAGCAGCCTGCATTAGCACCTGACTGATCTCAACATATAATGATTTTTTTTTCCCCATAACTCAGCAAAAAATCCCCACAGACACCAGAAAGTAGAAATGGCAACCAGGGATTCTCCACATTTCTGTTCTCTTCAGTGCTCATGAGTGCTTGATGTGTTACCTCTCATGTGGAAAAGAAAGACTTGTTATGTCAGTCAGCAGGCTGTTTACCCCCATAGAAATAGTCTAGTTCTGACTTTCCTGACAAAAGCATTAACTCTTTTCCAAGTCTTCCCTAAGTCTTCCCTCATCATTTCACAGATTGCATGCATAGGAAGTCATTTAAATGATATTTATCTGGCTCCTGATGGGTTCCTTTGCTTGTCTCAGCTGGAGTTAAATCTGCTTCCCTTCAGCAGCCTATTTTTTCAGGCTTCAGATGTAGCTCCCCTAAGTACAGCAGTAGCCTTTTCTTCCTCTTCTACACACGGATGCGAGTCTCTTTTGCAACCCTGTTGGAGTTTACCAAGGCAGCGAAATATTCTATTTTCTGCTTGAAAGAATAGCTTCTGCATGGCTATTTGGGCTGCAGGCCTCAGGCTGTGAGTGGGTCTGACAGAAGCAATGGACCGTGTTCGGGGGTTGATACTCAGGAGCCAGGGGGGATGATGGAAGAAGACTCTTGCCCTGTTTTGCAGTCTCATCCTGCATAAAAATCCAAGGATGGTACAAAGTACATGTGTAGGACAGCTTCTCAAGGGGCCTTATCTCTGGCATAGCAGGAGAATTCATTGGCTACAGCACCCCTGAAGACCCTGAAAGCATCAGATGGCAACAGATGGAAGTCCAGTTTACAGTCTAAGTCTACATAGCAAAGGCTCCAACTTGGGCAGCTGGGCTGCCTTTCCTGTATTTTCTCCACCTACTTCTGCTGATGTTAATGGACATTGTTCTAGAGACAGAGGAGTGACGATTGTGTCAATATCAACACTGAAAGCCCTTATCTGCTTCCCAACCTTCCCTCAGCTGCTGTAATTTTGAGTTGGTCAAACAACCTTTTTTTATTCTGGGTGTCTTATTAGCCAGGGATAAAAGCCTCTCTCTGGTGACACTGTATGTCCCCAACCACGGGAAGAGTGGAATAATTGATACTGTGCAAGAACAGAAGCACAGAAATTGTCATAGACCAGCACCTGACAAGACCTATCTTCAAAGATCCTAAACCAAAGAAGGAAGTACTGTCTTTTAGTCTCTTTTTGTGAGCTCTTCCAGTCATCAAGGCAACACAGGGCAGTTCTAGAGAGAAGTTACCCCAATCCATCAGACTCTTTGAAGCCATTCCTGAAAAGAAGGCACAAAACCAAAACAATAAAATCACATTTTGCCAGTCTTTATGTCTTGCAACTCTTTGATCCAAAGCAGCTCAGATGACAAATACAGAGGAACAGGGCAAAACCTTTTCAGTTGGGTTTAAGTCTTCATTCAGAGACAAAAGTCTTTATATTTGAAAGAAGGAAATAAGTAGTAACTATAAATGTTCCATCGAATCTTCACAAGGGATTAACTGAGGAACCAAGCAACTCTTTCTATACGTAAAGTGGAAGGTGACCCACAGAAACTGCTATTACTGGCTTAAAAATAAAAGCTTTAGTTTGCATCTGTTGTGAACTATAGAAGTTTGATCAATCCAGTAGGACTTTCTGAACTAAACAAAATGCTTAAGACAGTAACAAAACTTTCCCACAGAGTCTGCACAAAATGTTTTCATTTTATTTCCTGAGGTCTTCTTAGGTCTTACAATCTTAGTTATTCCTTCACTGATTTCATCTGTCTGAAAAAACCTTAGTTCCCAGTGTAGAAAATTCCTACCTGCACAAGTATATGGTTTCTGGCACTTACAGTATTAGCAATAATGACTTTCGTTGTTTGGGCTTTCCTGACCTGAAGCGACCAAGTCAGAACCAATAACATAAAATTAATGCTTCCCTAGTATTGTAGTTTGACCCTGGCTAGCAGCAAAACACCACAACTGCTCGCTAGACTTCTATGAAGCAGTAAGGCAACATACTTTGAAAGATACTTCACTAAAGCACAGTGCCTCAGCTTGTTCCCTGTTCAGTTACTGAGCTCCCTGACTTAATTAGGAGGTAGCTGGGGTCCACAATTGTCTAAGTAGACGCAGAAGGGTCTTTACAAATTACTTGGAACATTGTCTAATCTAAGACCCTCAGAATTTGGGCATTATATATCATAAAGCAAGTAGACCCTCTTACCCCTGAAGCTACAGTGCTCATCTTCTAGATCAGTCTGGTTTAAATGCTTAGCAATATTGCTGTTCCAAGAGGTTGTGATCCCTTGTTTTCAATGTTATGTACATATGTGTATGTTACATATCTTTAGGAATAGTGTTGGCAAGATGTATGGGTTTCTGTGAGCTATTTACTAGCTAGTTAAACTCTGACAATGGAGGAAACTTTAAGTATTTTATCACAGTAAAATATTTAAGTGGATTGAGAACATTAACTCAGCAGGAGAGGTCTCAGAGACGTCCATTAAAGCTAAAGGCATAAGAAGCTGTTAGCTACATTAGTTAGATATTCAGAAATGAAGAAAGCATAAAAGGCAAATAAAACAGATAAATCACATCACAGTCTAATCTCAAATGACAATTTCCCTGGCTCTTAAAAGAGACTGTGTGAGGACTTGCAATATAAGCCAACATTGACAGATGGTAGGAGTAATTTTAAAATTGTCTAAGGAAGTGTGTAGGCAAGAGGAAGGAAGATGGAAAATTAAAGGAAGAAAGGATATACATAAAGCATAGTTGTACTGTAAAATACGATGGCAAGGCAATATGTCAAGATCCCACCTTCAGTTCTGAAACACTTTTCAGATCCTCTCTGATATGTTAAAAGTAAAATGTTTGTTTTCTGCCAGCCCTGCAAGTACAACCCCTGGTCTAAAAAGTTGTCTGGATTATTTCTGGCTTTGACATTGCCAGTTATAAAGTCTGCATTTGGAACTCAGATAACTCTTCTGATGGTATGCAAGCTAGGAAAGAATCCAGCTCACTGTCATAGAACCAACCATATTACTTCTGCAGATCCAATAAGAATAAAAATACTGAAAACATATTACTTCTACAGCAACAGAAGCGGAGCCTGGAAGGAACAGATAAAAAGTCATTTTCACATGGTCATTTGATCAGGACCAGGGAATAAAACTAAATTTACCAATTGTATTCCAGGTGAAAGATAGCATATGCACAGTAACGAAAAGCTGTAGGTCTCCTGTTTTCTAATAGTTTCACAATAATTCTTTCTGTACAGTGTTTAGAGGCACTGGAACTTACAGGTGACTACACAAGATTTAATGTTATCTGTGGTGGTAAACAAGCTAAAGGAGTGTTTTGATCTTAGAATAAAAGTTCTAAATTGGATGAGAGCAGAGACAGAGAGAACCTTCAGTGGCAAACTGATCTATTCCTTCACTTTTGTAGAACTACTTGAAGGTTTGCAGGTTATCTTGTTCAACTGAGTCCTTCCTATGGAAGTAAGTATGTGGCAGGACAACAGAGACTGTGATTACAGTTCTGTGGTAAATGGGGTTTCCAGTATGGATGTCACTTTCATATTACTAATGATTTATATCTGCTATTACAATTTTTTGTCTCTAAAGTTATTTACACAGCAGTTTAAATATCAACACCACTCTGAAAGTGATAGACTGCAGTAGGTACAGCACTACTGAGTGTCAGGTGGGTGCAGAGCACAGGTAGGACTTTTGGTATGGTTGGGCAGCAAGCAGATGTGCTTTTTCCTGCTCCCCTGAATACAGAGAGGTCATACGTAGCACCATGCTATAGCTGAAGAAGGTTGGACCAGCCCTTTCCGGTGGGCAAAGGCTCCTCTCCAAGTTAATTTGCAGATAGGAAAGGAGAGAGCAGTTGTCTGATCTATCATTTAGCTGAGCAAAATCCATCCACCAAATGTAGGAAGTGTCATCTTAATCTGTCTCTTTCCTCTTCCTTTACACAAACAAGTAAGAACCAAGTGGCCCTAAGTCTGCTCTGCCATATCTTTGTTTCTGGACTATTATTTTCTGTGAGTCACTCAGTTCCAATGAACTGCTGCTTATGATTCCCCACTTGTCCTTGTATAATAAATAATCTCTGACATGTAAGCATCTCTCATTTGGTCTTGTACAGTGATCACAAAATGTCCACAGGGATTCAGAGACAAGTAGAAACTCTCTGTTTATGCTAGTACTTATAATTTCTCCATTTATGTACTACGTAAAGTATAAGTGAAAAGGACTTCTGTTTTGACTACGAAGTTGAACAAGCACTGACTGTTTTAAAATTCAAGGTAAACAGTCTTACATTTTCTTGCAGGCAAACAGTGGAACGTGTGACACTACAGAACCAACTCCAGCAGCTTTTAGAAGTCCAGCGGTCAGAGGGCAAGTCACTGTCCATGTCCCCAAGGTAAGGTGAATGGACTTGTGGTGCAGACTGGATTTGCACAGTTTCATGATACCGTCAGTTGTCAGGAGAAGCTGTGACCTGTCTAAATAGTAGATGTGTTCTGTTGAAGTAAATGTGTTTCTTTTACCTTGTGGGCTTGAAGCTGAGCTCTCAGAATTTGACATGTATAATGTATAAATATTGGAAATTTTGAGTCTGAAATTAATAGTCTCTGTTTCCCAGCAGAGTGAAAATTGGATTTACAGTGGAGTAGAATAGAATTTGTGTTAGATGAATAGCAGAGAATCCTAGAAGCCCGTAGGAAGGTTGTAAAGTTTGGCCTTGTGATGTTCCACTGTACATTACTGCCAGCTGTAATTCGTAAAACCAGTCACCGACAAAACCTGCTTTCAGGTTAATAAGACTCCTTATACTCATTAAGTCTTTTGCCTGCAGTAGCTTGTATAAAGCGTCAAAACTCCAGAAATTTTATGTATTGTTTACAGATCCTGTCAGAAGTCAAAGAAATAGACACAAACTGAGTAGCATTAAAGAGGAGGAAAGTAAAGGCAGAGGACTGGATCTGGAGGCTGCTAACATATCTCTCTGACCTCTGACATAGACTTTGAGTGTGGTGCATGGAAGTCAAGCAAGCACACAACTTCTCTCTGATAGCAATCTTAAGAAGACTTTGAAAGGAATTAAGTAACTCAGAGGCAAATAGGACTTGGTTTATCGTTACCTTCTGATTCAGTTTCCTCTCTGGAAGACATATGCAGCACTTCTCATTATTTCAGAATTGTTAGGGAGCTACGTATATGTTAAAGTATAAAGCCAGCATAAAATCTTTTTCAGGCATTGACAGTCAGAACTTTGGGTCATCAAGTATGAACTTCTAGGATCAGTGACTACTTTTTTCCCATTCTCACAGAATGCCTCTTTTATGGACAAGTGCTCCATGTCCCAGAATTTCATCTGTCAGTGTTTCAGATTTCAGACAAGTGCACATAGTTAGAGAAGTAGTTAACAAAGACTTCGGGATTGGAAATGCATTTGTGTAGAGGAACTTAAGCTAGGAAAGGGCTGTAAATTCCAAACTCCTGCTAAGTAGAAAACCACCCTGGAAAGAGTTGTTTTTTTTAATCTGATGATCTTTGCCTTCCCTGTCTGCCAGATCAGCAGAAACAATGGGACCAAACACTGTCTTCCAGTTCATTTGGTTTCTGTGATTTTTGCTGAGTGGTCTTTCCAAGTGATCTCACATCTGAGTAAGAACCATAACCATTTTACTTTCAGTATCAGATAAGATCAGGTGAGAGCAGATCTCAAATCATTCACTATTCCTGTAAAATGGTAGGTTTCAACATCTTTTTAGTTAAGTGAGCAAATCTGAAAATGATACTTTGTTCTTTAAAATTTTATTTCATAGTTGGCTACTACTTTTCTTTCCAGCTAGAACCCACCTGTGGGTATTATCAACATCCAAAGAGCCAGCAGCAGATCTAAGAGCACCTATCCCTTTTACTGGGAATGTCTATTGTAGATAGATGCATATTCTTCAGTATCTGTTTCAGTTTGCCGCAGAATTCAAAACACAAAATTAATTGAAGATGAGGTGGCATTTTATGCATTGTGAGAGCTATGGACTGATCAGAGTAGAAGTTGCTTGTGAAAAAATAAATTAAATTTATTAATTCACTGCCTCACACTAACCTTAATTTTGTCATCTTATCCTTACTCAGAGGAAAAGTGGTTTAAAATAAGAACGTGGGGTATTATGAGCTCTGGCATATGTCATGGGGAAAGAAGTGGCCTCTGTAATTTACGTTCTTTGCAGATCAGACTTGAGATTGCTGTTTCCTCACTGTGTAACATTTGGGGTTCTAAATTTAATTTATTATTCTAATAGTATTGAAATAAATTCATGTCACCTTTCTCATGCTTTTCAGTATTTCATATCTGAAAAGGGTTTTTTCCCTGACTTTTTATGAGGTCTTAGATGGCTGTTATTAATATCAGATGAAGTTTGGATTTATGAAATCATTGCTATGCAGAGAGCTGGTACTTTCACAGTATTTAGAATAAGCTACTTTTGTATTATGATGTGGCTTGGATAGTAGGCATTTGGCCTTGTGGGGTTTTTTGGCTTTTAAACCATGTCAACTCCCACAAATAGGAAACAGTAGTTTCTCTAAATTTTTCCTCAGAAAGTCATCTTTGGCATCTAAATAACCATTCTAAGTTTTGATTTTAAGGAGTTTTCTTTGTAAGAGAAAGTAAAGAGACTCAGATCCTAATTAGGAATGGAAGCAGGGTTGCATCCTTCTCTGTGTAGTCTTCACTGTGTCATCATAGTAATGAATTCCATGTGAGTAGCGATGAAGACGATAAGTAACAATAAGCTGAGGCAGCGTACACTGGAAATGGCAGATTCACATTTTATATGTGCATTAATCTGGCTGTGGTATTTCCTCCTTTATTTTCTTTAAGCTCACCATCATCTCCTGCTTCTGGCAAACCCCAGTGGAAACCATCTGAAGCAGATGAATTGTCTCCACCAAAAAGTAAATTGAACACCCAAGATGGGATTCAGATTCTTGGCAGCTTGGGAACTTCTAGTCGCACTCGAGCCAAGATAAAAGATGAGGATTCAGATAACATCTTGCGCCAGTTGTTGGGGAAGGAAATCTCTGAAAACGTCTGTATGCAGGAAAAGCTGACTTTGGAATTTCAGGGTGCTCATGCATCCTCCAAGAACGTGAAGAAGATTTTGCCAGAGAAAAGGGAGCTGAAGTTAGCCAGACTGAGGCAACTGATGCAGAGGTCACTCAGTGAGTCTGACACAGACTCAGCTAATTCTGAGGACCATAAGAACACCCCTGTGAAGCGAACTGATAAACTGAGGCCTCAGCCCATTGTGGAGAGTGTTGAGACCACAGAGAGTTTGCACCTGATGATTAAGAAACACACTAACGCAGCAGGACGTCGCTTCCCTTTTGGTATCAGGGTCTCTAAGCCTGTGGATGGCCACAGTCCTTCCCCTACTTCAGAGAACAGCGACCCGGATAACGAAGCCCCGTATCAGTCTAGTACTGTACCTCAGAGCCAGTTTTGTGGAGACAACTCTCCATCCAGCATGGACAGTGCCAGTGCTCAAAAGGTTGCCACCAGCCCTAAGAGCGCTCTTAAGTCTCCATCTTCAAAGCGCAGAACCTCCCAAAATTTGAAACTCCGGGTAACTTTTGAGGAGCCTGTGGTGCAGGTGGAGCTAGCAGAGTCAGAACTAACCGAGGAAAAGGATAGAGACCGGGGCAAAGGACTTGTGCGGGCTCCAGCCGGCTCTGGGGAGCCAGCAGGAGACCAGCTGAAAAGGCCTTTTGGAACCTTTCGGTCCATAATGGAGACGCTGAGTGGCAACCAAAATAACAACAACAACTGTCAAACAGCAAACCTGATCAAAACCTCATCAACGCTGCCTTTTGCCTCATTAGGAAGGAAAACAGCAGACAGCAAGGGAAATCCAGCAGCTCTCACAAAAGGAAGAAACAATCCAGTGAGTGCACTGAAGGAGGAAGGGCCTTTTTCCCCCTTGTCTCTTTAAGTAATGAATAAGTTTGAAAAGCTTCTCCTTCATGCTTTTCTATAGCAAAAGGATGCACACAAATACTTTACTGTATTTGGCCTGTAGAAAGCCCAAGCACTGTTTTAATTTTGGAAGTTTTTTTCCAAGGAATGACAGGTATTGCTTGTGTACAGAGTCCATACTCCTAGACCACATGGTTCACATTCTGTGTCGAAAGCTTTCCATGGAGACGTGATTCACCTAGAAATTATGTTTGATGTTGCTCTGAGTGACTAGTCATACAAAGAGAATGTTACGCTTGAATCTGGGGGATTTTGGAGGAGTAAATAGCTGAAGGACTAGCCCTGTCCTGATCTATAGCCGAGATTGATGAGGCCAACAGGATAAAAATAAATGGTAGAATATAAAGAGGAAAAAAAGGTCCTTCCTGCTTCTGCAGGTGCTACAGCCATCCCCTAGATGTTGAAGCTATCAGTACCCAGCCCTCTTTGCCTACTCTCTGTGGACAGCACACAGTCTTCTCCTGGCAGAGCATATGGTTGGTCTGTAGCAAAATGTACTGGATCCAGATCATCCCCTCTCTGCAGTCAACAGATTGCCCTTTTGGGGATCCCAACAGAAAGAGAGCTGTCTCCAGTTAGGAGGCTGGCTCTCTTGTTCAAGAGAAAGGAGAATATACTTTGAACAAATGTATCTTCCAAGAGAAGGGAAAAGGTATTCAATTAAAGAGACAGAGGTAGGAAATACTGGGAACACAGTGTGTTTGTGGAGTGGAGAGAAGTGCAAGCATCTAGAAATACAATGAAGAGCTGAGTAAGAGGGAATGGTAGATGATTTAATCCTCTGTGAAAGACAAGGTGGGAGGGAAGGAGTGGATGGAAAGACATGAGGCAAAAGAATCATTTCAAGATGAAAAAAAGAATATAACACAGGCCAAGAGGAGAAGGAGGAATAGTGAATTATATACTGTAAAAAGTATGACAAGGTAGTGGAAGAAAAACACAGGAAAATCTTAGGCATAGAGGAGGCAAAATGAGTATGGAAAAGAAACAGTGGAAAAAGAGAACTCGGAAACAGTGAGCAGTCCATATTAGAGGGTACTGCTAGAACTGTAGCGCTGTAGCAGAATGTGAAATGAAATGAAACATTCAAAGGAGACCTAATAATTGAAGTGGGACTGCATTTATTAAAGTTACTCAGAATCACAGTATGAACTACTGATTTGAGCCTTTAAAGACATGCATCATCTAGTTGAACAGCCAATTTTACATAGAAGTATTTTCATAACACAATGGCAATCTCAAAAGAGTGATTCAGATTTTATAGGGACAGAGGAAAAGACAGTCTGTCTTGAAAGATGTTCTGATAGATTGCAAGGTCATGAGCAGTTTTCATAATTCTTTAAGAAATTTGAAGACTTGGATGAGGTAATTTAACACTGACGCTTGCACTGTAAACCACACTTTGTCTGTGAAAGGCCATGTTTGCATGTCGTTACCAACATAAAAATTGTGGAAAGACTACATTTTCATACCAACCCAAAGGACGACAGTACACACCTCAAAGAGGTAATAGATTCAGCCTCATTTACTAACTCAAAAGAGATCTGTTAAACTGTTATTGTGGCTGTTTGACTGCATGTTTTGGTAGACTTCCATGTTATGCATGTGGTAAGCTCAGTGCATGTTTTTGACTGATATGATGTTGTACTTCCTTAGGGTCCTTACTTCAGCTACACCAGTCTTTCCTCTAGCACGCTGAATGAAGAACTTCTGTGTAACTATGCTTGGTATGTGCTTCTGCATGGTGATGTTTAGCATCTCTGTTGCTTTCTTTTCTCAGATTGCATGTGTTTGCTAACGTTATTCGTAACTGAAATACTGGAATTGATGGATGCACAAGAAGGGAAATAAATGAACAGATGAACATCTAAATTCCTAGAAAAGCAGAAATTTATGATGGATTTTTGCTGATGTCACCATTGAACTGGCTACAGGATTTCAGTTTGAAACCAGTATAGAGAGTATTCATACTTGCAAATCCACCAGGGAGTATAGTGCACTTTGGCTGAGTATTCAGCCTCTGTTGAATGAAAGTCAAGTACCAGATGAGAATGGAAATTAAATTTCCTCTCATGTGGAAAGCACAAACACCACAGTTCATCTCTAGATGGAGACTACAGAGAACATGAGGCAGAATGCTCTACTCCAGTCCAGTGCTCTCCTATTTTCACACATTTTTCTTACTCTCCCTTAGATTTTGAAGTTAAATCTGCTCTTTAAAAGTCTGATAACTTTGTCTGTGTTCAGACTCCTTAATTTAGACATCTTCCATCAGGACTACTCGGGCAGATAGATACCAGGCCCTCAAGGTCTGTAAAGACACATTGGAAAAAACATTTGACAAAGTGTGTGTTTATTTTATAAGCAAGTGTTTTTTTAAAAATTACCTGTCATTTTTATCCAACTCAACACTCCCAAATTCTTGTGATGACAGTTTTTTTCTGTTAAACTGAGATATAAATCCTTTCACTAGGCCTGGAAATGATTGCTATTCACACCAACATTATACATTTGAAGGTATTTCTGTGAAAATTATAAATTAGTCATTCTGCAGTTCAGGAGCCTAAATTACTTTCAAGTTACTCTTTTCTAAATGTCTAATGCATTTTTTTTTTTGTTCACTTGTTTTCTAACGCCAGGACCTTCCCATACTTAAAAACTCAATTTCCGTGATGGAAATGGGAGCCTTGTTCTGAAGTCATTGGCACAGTGTATGTGAAACCAGAAACAGAACTGTAAAGTTTCCAAGAGGTTTCATTCTCTCCTGAAAACAAAGAGGGAAATTCCAGTGCAGAAAACTGACTGCACAGCAGCAGTTTGCGGGAGCATCAGTGGGCAGCCTCCAATCAAAACACCCAGCTTCCTGTCCAGACCATGGACTAACACAAAACTTTTAATCTCATCCTTATGTTAGAGCCGTCTCCCAGATGTAGCCAGTTGTTGTCATTCGGTACTGTGTCATGTAAATGCTCTTGTGTGAGAAATCTCTGGCAGCATGGCATTTCCCCAGAAGCAGGGAGACAGGGAGGGTCTGCCTGCTGCTGCAGGGCTGCGGAGTTGCCTGCTGGGAGGGTGAAGGTTGGGGCTAAACTTCTGTCCATCCCTGCAGGCGCTGCTGAAC